GTGCCGCCGCCCCCCCCCCCAGCCAATGGGAATGCAGCCTGAGGGGCAGGCGTCATGTGCAAGGGGCGGGTTCGGATGATAGGCCCCGCCCCGCCCGCGCGACCCAGCCTGTCTGATGCATTGTCCCTCCTCCGGGCCTAGCCCCGCCCCTGCCTGGGCGCTTCCAAGGGGCGGGGCAGGGTCTCAGACCTGCCCAGGGCTTCCTGGGAGCCCTGGCGGTGCTAAGCCCCCTGCCCGGCCCTGCCACCTTCATCCCTGGCCACCACCTGCATGCTGCGGAACAGCTGTTCACTGTGGGGAGGAGGTGCTGGGGATAGGGGGTGGGAGAAGTAGCTGAGCAAGAGCTGCAAATGGTCAGGAGGGTGCTAAGGACGAGAGGGAGCTGCTGGTAGCTGCTCCGCACCTGCTAATGTGTTTCGGTGGCTGCTGTAGCACTAGAGCATCCAGTGAGTTGGTGCCAGTGTCACAGTCAGCCCCCTGGCCTGGGTGTCTGTAGGTGTGTCTACCCTTAAAACATTACATTGTCATAGCTGCAGTGCTTTAATGAAAATGCTCTAAGCTGATGGGAGCATTGGCGATACGTGGGGGATGCACGTGGAGCCACATGCACCCCCCCCCCATGGTGGGGGGACCACCCAGCAGCTAGCAGGAGGGCCAGTGCTGGCAAATTCCCTCCCTCGTTCCCTCCCTCCACTCACCAGTAGCAGTGGTGAGGAAAGTGCAGACCAGATGGCTCCCGCTCATGCAGTGCCACTCCAGGGAGTGCTGAGAAGAGGTGTGGAGGGATAGAACAATGTTGGGGAGAGGCAGGGGTAGTGCCAACACTCCTCGGCTGCGTCTAGATTGGCATGATTTTCCGGAAATGCTTTTAATGGAAAAGTTTTCCATTAAAAGCATTTTCGGAACAGAGCATCTAGATTGGCACGGACGCTTTTCCACAAAAGCACTTTTTGCGGAAAAGCATCCGTGCCAATCTAGACGTGCTTTTCCACAAAAAAGCCCCGATCGCCATTTTCGCGATCGGAGCTTTTTTGCAGAAAACAAATCTGAGCTGTCTACACTGGCCCTTTTGAGCAGATTAGTATTTCCGCAAGAAGCACTGATTTCTTACAGTAGGAAGTCAGTGCTTTTGTGGAAATTCAAGCGGCCAGTGTAGACAGCTGGCAAGTTTTTCCAGAAAAGCGGCTGATTTTCCGGAAAAACTGGCCAGTCTAGACATAGCCCTCCTGTCACAAGTTGCTGCTGGATGGCAGAGAGGTCTTCCATCAGAGTAGTTAATTCATCTCCCCAAGAAGCAGTAGTTATTTCAGTGGAAGAAGTTCTTCTCCCAACCAAGCACTGTTTACACGATGAGTTATGTAGCGTCCCTCTCCACCCAATTACCTTCTTTAATGCCAATCTGCCTACAGGTTTCGGTGGACAGGTTCTTCTGGATCCCGCCACCCACTCAGCTGGGTGTATCTTCTTTATTTTTTCCTATGGATTTATTTGGTGGTTCCTCTACCCCCCTCACTCCTTCCTGGCAGGGTCACCAGGGCAATTTGGGAGGAAAATTCTAACCACAGGGTAATCCCCACTTATTTGCGAGATAGTTGGAGACTTCAATAAATAACACAAACACATACAATATATTCAACACAATAATTATATGAAACAGGAAACAATTATAACATAACAAGGTAAAACACTATTTTTAGGTTCACCGGTGCCCATGCTGCTACTACCTGTGACTTTCCTCAGTCACGTGACTTGATGTAGCAAATGTAAGATTAGTGTCCTGCTGGTACGTGTACTTTGTTGGGGCCCTTGATGACCTATGACCACAAAATTCTTCTCTGTAGTGGTTTAGCAGTGTGGCTGACTGGGTTCAGTACAGCCCAAAGGACTCACAAGAGGGAGAAGGTGGTAAATCCCTCCACAGGTATAATATGCAGCAGGTTATAAAATCCCCAAACCCTTACTCCCTGGCTTGAGGACACAGTTCAGGGAGTAGGGAGTCCCCAAAACAAATTCCCTGACTGACGAACTAGAAGATGGTGCACTCTCAAACTCCATGAATGATCCTCCGGTTTAGAGATGACTCTAGACTCCTCAGTTACTGCAGAGGGGCTGATCTCTGCTAGCAAGGATCCTATTCAGGCAAGAATCAGGCTGCTTCGATCCCAGGATTTCCCCTCACCACAAGGGGTTCAGGGCTCAAGGTGCAGATTACACAACTATACTAAAATCCAAACTGTAGTCTCCTAGCCCAGCATCCAGACACACACACAGCAGGCAGCCGTCCTGAACTAGCAGGCAGAGCAGAACTGACCATGTGGTGACTGGTCTCACCTAGGGAGCTGGAGGGCTAACTCAGCTTGGAAGTTTCCCAGCAAACTCTACAAACTGGGAATCATCAGTGGAGAAGGAAATCCCAGCTGAAGGACGGAGGCGTAGTGAACGGGGCGCAGGGCGGCAATTGCCCCCGGGTGCCACTCTAGGGTGAGCCGGGCCGGGGTCAGAGCGAGTCACATGTCAGTGCTCCAGCAATATTCAGAGCCAGGAGCCCTGCTCCAGCAATATTTAGAGCTGGGTCTCTCCCCAGCCCTGCCTGGTGCGGGCCGCGGCCCCCCCGCATATCCCCCCAGGCCCTGGACCATCCCTGCTGTGTGCAGCGTTCAGTCTGCTCCCCCTTGCCGGCACCCACTGCCGACTGCTGCTGCCACCATGCGCAGCGTTTCCAGGTGACCGGGGAGACACCTGGGCGTGACATGACGTCACAGCCCGGGACTTTAAAACTGCTCAGCGGTGCATTGCGCCACGTGGCCTAGCTCCCAGTTTGGAGTCCGGGGCCCAAGCGCAGACTCCGACCCCGCAAAGTGGAAGGCAGAAGGTACGGCAGGGCAGGGAAGAGGGAAAACTAGGGGGAAGAGGTGGGAGAGGAAGGGGCTTGTGCGGAAGGGGAGGGGAGGGTATGGGAGAGGAAGGCACCAAGGGACAGCCTGGAGGAGAGACAAATGCCAGGGGTTCAGGTGGAGACAATGAGGAAAAGGGAAAGAATGTGCCCAGTGTGGGCACTCAGGGCACTCCAAGCCAGGACTGCTTTGCAAGCGGGGCACCCCTGAGAACTGTCTGTCTGGGGTGGGAGTCGGGTCCCTTTAAGCACAGCCCTCAGCTAGCCTGAGGCAGCAGCTCCACGCTCTAAGTACTCATCTGATGCACTGCCGGCACTGCTTCTGGCCATCCTTAACCCCGGTTCAGGGTCCACTTAATGTGGACATGCTAGTTCGAATTAGCAAAACGCTAATTTGAACTAGTTTTTTAGTCTGGATGCGTTAGTTTGAATTAGCTTAGTTTGAATTAACTAATTCGATCTAAGTTAGTTCGAATTAGCGCTGTAGTGTAGACATACCCCAGGAGGGTGCAGGGGTAAGGGAAGGTTCAGGTGCCAGTGGATTCTGGGGGTGAAGCAGAAGGGCAGACACCTACATGGGAGGGACCAGCACCAGAGGAGAGAGGCGAGGGGGGTGTTAGACGAGGGGATGAGGAGGGGTAGCTCACATGATCAGAATGGGGCTACTGGAGAACTGGGCACACGGGGGAGAGAAGGGCTGGTGGAGGGGGGCAGGTCGCAGGAGGGCTGGGGGGCGTGAGGGGGGCAGGGGGCCGGGCAGGCCAATTTAGTCCCCCTCCGCTCCCTCTGTCATCCCTTGGTTCGCCTGCTCCTCCTCCATGCCAGCTGGAGCCATCTCTCCCCCCCCGCCCTACCCTCCTTCATCTCCATCGGAGGGTTAGTGCGTGTCAGGGCCTAGCCTGAAACTGGAGAGTGCGGGGGAAGACGCAGTACAAGCTCCCCCTTCCTCCCTGGGTCGGGCTCAGTCATGTGCCAGGTTTGGGGCCATGGCAACAGTGGGGGGGGGTGAGGAGTGCAAATTTTTCCTTTGTCCCCGGGCGCATAACACCCTCGCTATGCCTCTGCTGAGGAATCTTGCTTTGAAATCCCTAGAGGCCAGTTCTCAGGGGGGAACCTGCATGCAGACCTGGGGCTTACCAGCTCCCCACACAGCCAGGCCTGCCCTTGCCCTGGCTGGCTCCAGCCTGACTCATAAAAAACAATGGTTTCTCCCCTTTCCTGAACTCCCTAGGACAGGCATCTCACTCCCTATGGTTGCCAGGCAGACTCTGAGTTTGCCTTGGCTCCCCCTCCCTACCAGGGACTGTGTGCCTCTCCCCAAGCTGCCAGCAGACAGAGCCCCAGGAATCTAGGTAATCTCCTTGGGGGTTACAGTTAGGTCTAGGGATGTGAATGACTAGTTGACTATCCGATAATGCTTATTGGATAGTTGACACACTAGTCAACTAGTTGCTATCCCTCTCTCCCCTTCCTCCTCCCCCTCCTCCCCCCGGCTACCTCTATCAGAGTCAGGGAGGGGGGCGGAAAAGAAGGGGTACTTCAAAGCAGCAGTGCCACGTGGAGCCTGGGGCCAGACCCTGAGCGGCACACAGCGCTGCCACTTTGAAACACTGTGTGCAGCCCAGGGTCAGCTGAGGAGTTCCCAGGTGGGCCTGGGCTTCTGGTGGTGTTTCAAAGTGGCAGCACCCTGTGGAGCCCAGCGTCAGGTCGGGACTCAGAGTGCCCAACTGACTCTGGGTTCCACTGTGGTGCTGCTGCTTTGAAATGCCATGGGAGGCCAGTGGGGGACTGCTTGAGTCCCCCATTGGCCCCATGCTCTCTGCAGTGCTTTCACCTTTGAAGTGTAGCAGCAGCCCTGAGGCTGTTGCTACACTTCAAAGGCAGGAGGTGCCCTTATCGACTAATCGAATAGTCGATTGCATCGACTAGTCAATTAATCTAAATATAACATCCCTAGTTAGGTCAGTATGACACTCTTGATCTGGGGTGTGGATTTATCCCACACCTCACCAACATAATTCAACTGATACAGGTATGTAATATGGACCAGATCTTTAACTCTCTTAAATACTCAGAGCCTGCTCTCTCTTTTATTTAAAGGAAATGCATTACTCATGATCTTGCCACTGCTTTCAACAACAGGGGACAAATCAAGTACCTGCGAGTTGACTTCTATGAAGCAATGGAGGACTATACATCAGCCATACAAACCCAGCCTGATTTTGAAGTCCCATATTATAACAGAGGATTAATACTGTATAGGCTAGGTATGGAAAAACATGTTTTTGTTCACTTTGTAATTTAGTATGTCGTCTTTGGAGACTGGGTTGCACAGTGGTGCCCCATTCTTAGTTGCCCGTAAATACTACGATCATAAACATAATGCTATTATTGTGCTACAAACTTGGACTTGCATTATTTCAGTTTCATGCTAATGAAATTATACCATAGTAAAATGGTGGGAAAATCAGTCCTCTTAAATCACTGCCCAAAGTAATTGCTTTAAAAATAAACAGGAAACTGTTTTTTTAAATGTGTTTATATGATATTAGTATGCTGAACAGACCAAGTGACCCACCAGATAAGTGGCAGGTTTTTATAGTGCAACTTAATCTGTGTTAAAAAGGGCCCCCAGACTAATTTGTTTCTGTCTTTTTATATGAGCTGTGTAAAGTTCTGGGGATAGATTTCTTGGCCTTGATTCTGCTCAAACAGTTTTACACCAAGGAAAATCCATTGCTTTCAATGGAGGTATTCCTAACAGCAGGCCATGGTTGAGAGCGCGACCAGGAACAGGTAACAGGAGAGTTTGGAGAGGGAGTTCTCCAGGTAAAAGAGGAGTAAAAACGGGACCCTTGTGGTAAGTGGCTGTCTGGAGTGTGTGTTTGTGTGTGGGGGAGTTATTTGCAGTGTGCTGAGCTTGTGTTTGTCTGTTTGGTTTGGTTGGTTGGTTGGTTGGTTTGTTTGAAGGAGCTTCTAAAAGGTTTGAAATCTAGAAGCCTCTGTTAATTGGCTGAGCCTCAGTCAGGGGGAGGGGCTACCAGAGCTATATAAGCCTGTGACTCAGCGACCAGGGAGAGCGCTACCAGGAACAGGTAACAGGAGAGTTTGGAGAGGGAGTTTAGAGGGCACGAGTGACTTGTGTCCTTCTTTAAAACCTAACTCTTAGAATAATCTATACTCCAGAAGTTTAAAAAGAATCCCAGTTTGTACTTAAACTTATTCATTACAAACATGGAGACAGAAGCCCAGCAGCAGAGTGGGGGCTATCCTGTTTATTGCATCGAGTGTAACATGTATGATTACCTGCCCTGTGGGCGGGTGG